CACTCGGTGAGCTCCAGGCCTGGTCCTAAGAGAGGCTGCCGTCCCGGTTCTCTGTTACCCGGGGCTGGTCCCCTGTCCCGGGTAGAATTAAAAACACTTTAACGATTCCTGGTTCTCACTGGGTGAGCTCCAGGCCTGGTTCTAAGAGAGGCTGCTCTCCCGCTTCAGTTACCCGGGGCTCTGGTCCCCTGTCCCGGGTAGAATTAAAAACACTTTACCGATTCCTGGTTCTCAGAGAGGCTGCTGTCCCAGTTCTGTTACCGGGGCTCTGGTCCCCTGTCCCGGGTAGAATTAAAAACACTTTACCGATTCCTGGTTCTCAGAGAGGCTGCCGTCCCGGTTCTCTGTTACCCGGATTGTGGAGCCTCTGCCGGGTTGAGTGGCTCCGGAGCGTGGCCCCCGGTTCTCATAGAGGCTGCAGTCTCGCTTCTCTCCCCGTGCTTGAGCGATGGATTCCGCCTGTGAGTTTTCGCTCCGGTCGGTCAACTTCAACTTGCGAAAAAGCGTGTAAAAATGAATGCCACCCGGGCAAGCCATACATGCTTTTAAAGGTCTCGCTGAGGAGAACAATTCGGCGTGGGTCTCTGATTTTTATACAGTTTCCCCGATTTTTAAGCCGCGAAAGAGTGCCGTTTTTCCGCCCGGTCAACTTCAACTTCCGGTAGAGCGGGTGAAAACGCGTTCTACCCGGAAGCCATATATCCCCGTGAATGCCTAAGCCAGGAGAACAATTCGGCGTGGGTCTCCCATTTTTAAACGGTTTCCCCGGAGCGGGGCAAGCGGCGGAAGTCGCGCCGGAAAAACGTTCGAAAATCGGTCAAAAACGCCGAAATCCGGGAAAAACGCACCACGGGCCGTTTGCCCGTGTTCCGTAGGACAGCCCTGTGCGGTCGAATGATTTTTAGCACGTTCACAGGAGCCGGGAGAAATTAAAAATGGGTTTCCGGGTATACGAAGCATTGGCCGCCCTGGACAGGCGCTTAAGCCCCGCCCAATCGGGGAAAAGCACTTCCAGCTCACATAAGACAAAACCCCGCCGGCAGAATTGGAAGAGGAGCTTTTTCAAGAACGGCTAGGCCCATTGAGAAGCGGATTTTTGGGCCTGAAGCCCTCCAGGGCCCTTCCCATGCCTCAGATATGCCCAGAGCATGGAGCTGCGGCTCTTCCTTCCTGCATTTTTGAGCGTTTTTCCCCGTTTTCGCTGGTTCTCTCCCAGAGCTCGGTAACTCGATGGATCTCGCTGCCGGTTGCCTCCCTGGGCTCCGGCTGCTCTGGTGAGTGTCCCGCTGCCCGCAGAGGCAGCCTCTTTCGGTCCGTTTCCGCCATTTTGTTGCCTTTTCGCTGGTGGTTCTGCTGGAGGTCTCTAGCTCCAGGGATCTTGGTGGGGACTTGCTGGCGGGCTCTGGCCGCTGCGGGGAGGCTCCCACGGCCTGGATAAGGCCAGTGGAGCGCTCTGTGGCACTGCTGGAGCTCTCTAGCTGCACGGATCTTGGTGGTGATTTGCCGGCGGGCTCTGCTCTGCTCCGGGGCTTTGCTCCGCTGTACCATAGCCACAGAGGCAGCAATGCTGGTTCTCTGTTACCCGTGTGTCTGGAGCCATGGCTGGGGAGAGTAGCTCCAGAGCGCTCCCCTCATCTCAGAGAGGCAGCCGTCCCGGTTCTCCGTTAGCCGCGTCTCTGGAGCCATGGCTGGGGAGAGTAGCTCCAGAGCGCTCCCATCATCTCAGAGAGGCAGCCGTCCCGGTTCTCCGTTAGCCGCGTCTCTGGAGCCATGGCTGGGGAGAGTAGCTCCAGAGCGCTCCCCTCATCTCAGAGAGGCAGCCGTCCCGGTTCTCCGTTAGCCGCGTCTCTGGAGCCATGGCTGGGGAGAGTAGCTCCAGAGCGCTCCCATCATCTCAGAGAGGCAGCCGTCCCGGTTCTCCGTTAGCCGCGTCTCTGGAGCCATGGCTGGGGAGAGTAGCTCCAGAGCGCTCCCCTCATCTCAGAGAGGCAGCCGTCCCGGTTTCTCCGTTAGCCGCGTCTCTGGAGCCATGGCTGGGGAGAGTAGCTCCAGAGCGCTCCCATCATCTCAGAGAGGCAGTCGTCCCGGTTCTCCGTTAGCCGCGTCTCTGGAGCCATGGCTGGGAGAGTAGCTCCAGAGCGCTCCCATCATCTCAGAGAGGCAGTCGTCCCGGTTCTCCGTTAGCCGCGTCTCTGGAGCCATGGCTGGGGAGAGTAGCTCCAGAGCGCTCCCATCATCTCAGAGAGGCAGCCGTCCCGGTTCTCCGTTAGCCGCGTCTCTGGAGCCATGGCTGGGGAGAGTAGCTCCAGAGCGCTCCCATCATCTCAGAGAGGCAGCCGTCCCGGTTCTCCGTTAGCCGCGTCTCTGGAGCCATGGCTGGGGTACAATTCAAAACACTTTCACGGTTCCTGGTTCTCACGGAAGAACAGGATTTTACCCAGCAAACAAGCACAAAACACGGGGAAGTGGCGTATGAAACGCTTTATTGAACACAATCACATTATTCCAGCGGCTGCTGGTCAGCCTCCCTGGAGAGGTCGAAGGTCCTCCGCATGTCTGCCAACTGGCTGACAGTCAGTTGCATGGCATAGAAGCGGTCCGCGGTCCTAGTGTCGTGACACATCAGCTGGGACATACGCTGCCGGACCTCAGCGCACTGCGTGTTCCTGGCCTGCAGAGAGAGAGAGAGAGAGAGACAGACAGGTAGGTACAGGAACAGTGGCTGGGGGTGGGTTAAAGCTTCACGGCGGCATCACCAGCTCAACACCTACATGGTGGCCACGGCGGTCCGTATGTCTGTCAACGAGGGGCTACCCGGCAGGCGCATCCTGGCCCAGGCGTCGCGGGCGAAGGACGTCAGCTTGTTGACGGGGCCTCCGTTCAGGTTGAAAAACATCAGGTCCGAGTCGGGGCGCAGCTCTCTGCGTATGGCCATCCATCTTCTCAACCAACCGTATTCCTCCGGCGTCAGGAAGAGCTGGGCGCTCCCGAAGGCCCGGTTGGTCTTGTGGTGCCTGACCTGCGGAGGAACACGACGAGAACGAAAGTCAGTTTACCCGGTTCTGGTTCTGCACCCGGGATGAAGCGCTTTCGCTGCGGCGGGGCACTCACGTTGATCACGTAGCCGGACGAGTCGTGCCTGGATCCCGACTGTTCGGCTTCTTCTACCTCACTCACTCTCATGTTGCTGACCACCCCGGTTCTGTGGCCGTAGAGAGAAGCCACATACAAACCGAAGTAGCCTATGAGCTGGTTCCGTAGGTTGACGTCGCGCTTCCTCCGCGATAAGTCGCGCAACAGCACTGGTATGCAGGTCCGGCATCGCTCCAGGCACCTGCGTAGAAGTTCCGGCGTTACAGTGCGTCGCTCCTTGTCGTCCTTCACCTGGATCTGGTGGAGGACGACGGTGGTGGATATCTGACTGGCAGCGGACTTGAGGGCGCGTGCGACGGACACCAGGCCTCGCTTGGTGACCTGGAGCCCTCGGGTGGAGTTTCGCTGAAGTAGGTGAGGAACTGTCCCGTGTTGACGAGGTACACCTTGACCGTTGTTATCTTCTTCCCCTTTTTCAGCAGGTCGGCCGGCCAGCCCATCACCCGGTCGGCGTCGTCGAGGAACTTCCAGGAGCCCAGTCGCTCTTGCCCTCGGCCATGCGGTCAAGGAACTGGGTCAGCCGGCCCATCTTGGACCGTACGTTTTCCACGTGCTTCTTGGATGGCAGAGCACCCACTAGGTGCCGCTTGTAACCGCTCATGTAACGTACAACGCATTCAGGGAACTCTATGGGTTTACGCACCGGGTCGGGTGTGGTCGAGGTGGGACTCTGTCTGCCGGATCCCTCCTCCTGCTGCTGCTGCTGCTGCGGCTGCTGCTGCTGCTGGCTCCCCGGCTCCGGCTCCGACTCCTGTCCGAAGATTCGGTCAGCATTTGCGGCTCGGCGGGGCGGGGAGGCGATGGTTCTGGAGGCGATGGTGGTTGCGGAGCTTCTGGAGACGCCGGGGGGAACCGTGTCGTCTTCCTCCGGCTCCTCCTCCTCCTCCTCCTCCTCCTGCTCCTCCTCGTTCGGCTCAACCTCCACCTCCTCGTCCTCCTCCTCGTCCTCCTCCTCCTCGTCGCTTTCCTCGTCCTCCACCACCGCCACCCTCCGTGGCGGAGTGGGCCGAGTCCCCACAGCTGGGGCAACGCGGGCCTCTTCGAGGTCGAGCCCCGTAGCTAGAGACGGGTGCGGGTGGGAGCGCCTCAGCTCCCTCAGCTTCTCAGTGTCCTCTGCCACTGGAGGCCGGTCAGAAGCCGCCTCTTCCGCCGCGGACCCAGGTCACGGTGGGACTCTTGGAGGTGTTGGGGCACGCGCCGACCGCCGTAAGCGCAGCCCTGGACCGGACAGCGCATTCCCCTCACATTCACCCGCCCCCTGGCGTAGGCAAGCAGGATGCGACGCTCGACGGGGTTCCTCACCTTGTGCTTGCCGTCCAGGTGTTCCCTCAGACGCCACGATCTGCGGGAGCACACGGGCATCGGTTGTCAAACTTTGAAGCGGTCATTGGTACTCACCCGGCTGCTGCAAGACTCCGAATGAGGCTGCAAGGAACGCGCCTCTGCCTAAGTAGCCGTCCTACCAATCAAGTGGGATGCAGTACACCTGTGGCCAATCGGGCCGGTTCCTCGGCCCTGATTGAAACAGGTGTGCTGCATCCGGCGCCGCCGAAGAAGCGGGGCGGAACTGCGGACGGGATCTTCGTCCCGTCCGGCGGGCCCCCCCATCTCCCGCACCTGCGGGGGGTCGACCGCACCCGCGGTCGACCATGTTAGGACCCTAAGTGGGGTTAGCGAAAGCGCCCCTTGGGTCACGCGGATGGGGTGAGCTGACCCCCCCCATCCACGGCGACCCCCCCGGTCCCCCCACCCTGAGTGGGGCCCCCCCCTGGCCCCCTCCCTCGGTGCCGCCCCCCCAGACCCCCCCGGCCCTAGCTCCAGGGCGGAGAGGGGGCTGGCCGGTCCCC